AACTAAAATGAGAATGCACTGGAATAATTGAAATTTTGGAGTTACTACTTCTATACCCTATAGCAATGTTTGTACTATACCTGCTAGGAAGCAATACCTATTATAATTACTCAAGGGTATACCTTTTCGGGGATGCGATAACAAAATTAATTTACTCCGTTATATCTTTTAGGGGTGTAATAACACAATGCTTCTCTTTAAGATTGTACTTCTTCAAGCACGCATTAACATTTGTGATCTTTAAAGATGTATTGCTTCAAGCGTGTAACGTTGTTCAAATCCTGAAGGATACAATTTTTACTGATAGTAATAACAGTATTCTTCTTTAGATTGCACTTGCTTGTAAAAAATATGAAGAATCTAGTTTAGGCAAAAATAAATTTAAAAGACGAATATCAAATAAAAGATCAAAATTGTTTCGAAAATTCGTGCAAAGCTACACAAAGGGTATTTGACTAGGCATATGTTATTTGGAAATTATATTCTACAAGGAAAGCAGCTATTCAACAGCACCCACCGCCAACTCTTGGGCTGCTTTAGTCAAATAGTTGAAGTTGACCGTTGCATCTGATAATGCAGCCACGGCATGAAAATGATGAGTGCGTTTTAGTGGCAACGGAGCACGAACCATGGACCTTCACTCTAGAATATAAAAATAAGAAACTAAAGTTCGTATGCCTCATTTTTTAGCATTTACTAAATCTACACTTTATATATTATATATATCATATAAGTACAAAATATATTTTAACACAAATCAGATACTTACAACTTAGTTTGAATTTTATCTTGAGTATTTCAATTTTTAATTACACTTGCTTCTGTCATCCAATAGGTTTTTCTATATCATAGAAAATCAAATTGAATTATCACTTGTTATATAACTCTTGTTGTTTTTAACATTCACATGGAAATTGAAAACACGTCATTCTCTAAATCATTCAGATGAAACATCTTATAAACAAAGTTTGAGGGAAAGACTTTCAAAGCTTTATGCTTTAACTGAGCCGGCTTTACGACGTACACATCTTTTATGCTGTGGAAACACCTTTGAATTTTTCAGAACTATGATCTAAAAGTTAAAAAATATAGAGTTGTTAAAGAAGTCAATAACTTATA